CGCCCCAAGCACCAGCTTGGGTGCCTGGTGCCTGGAGCCGGCCCTGCTGCGGGGTAACGAGCAATAGGGGGGCGGGGCAATGGGCCAGCTCGCTCCGCCCCCTTCGTCTTGCGGGTGTGTTTCCCGGCACAGCCCCGCCCCCGCAGGGCTAACGGCCAGCACGGCCCCGCCCCCGCCCCCGCCCCCGGCGCTGCTGATAGGGCGGGAACTACAGCTCCGCCCTGCCTCTCACAGGAACCCGTAGGACCCCGAGCACCGCCCCTCTCTCCGGATCCCGCCCCTTCCGCTCGGGACGGGGGCAGGGCTGTCCGGTCTTCGCTGGCGGCACTTCCGCCCGTGTGATGGGGCATCCCGCCGCCCGGGAACGGGCCTCTCTACATCGCCGGGTAGCGCGCACGGTCCCGCGGGGAGGTAAGGTCCGGTCCGGGGCTACAAGGGGCGGCCCCGCTGGGAGGGGTGCTCCGCTCGAGGGAGGGACGGGCTGGGGAAGGGGGAGGAATGGGCTGGGCTGGGGTGGGGGTATCAGAGCCCTTTCCCGAATCGGTTACCCCATCCCTTGGGGGCGGATCTCTCCCCTCCATCTCCTGCCTGGTGTACGGTAGATGCCAGCTGCTCAGCAGTGCTTCGTGCTGGGGGGAGGTTTCTCTGTATTTATTAATTTAAATGTACAAGCCACATTCCCCACCAGCAGCGCAGCGCTTGGGCCCCTTAGTCTCAGTGTGAGCCCCACCTCTGGGGGCGATGTGGTCACTGCTCGCTGGCTGGGTGCTGTTCTGGCTGAGATTGTAGAGTATCCGTTTCACATCTGGTACGTCCCCTCTCTGCAGCGGAGCGATGATACAGACTTGGTGATGTAATATTATAGTTCTTATTGCCCAATACTATGACCCTGGGAACAAGACGCTTGGAAAATAATTACAAAATTCAAACAAAAAGAGTAATTTCTCTGTTTACAATATATAGCCATACATGGTATATTTCTTAAAAATGGCACAATATTTTTATATGAAACCTGTGTTTTGGAATGTGCCTATTTTAGGAAATGCTGTAAAATTGTGTTGAGGTTTGTTGCTGTTGAGCACTTTTTGTTGCTGCCTTTGCATGCAGATCCACATGGATAATTGCTCTATTGTGAATAAGGTACAGGAGATGCTATATACACACAAGATTTGGTTTCAAGGTCAGAACTTCAATGCATACTAATTGCAGCCAGTTTATCCATTGGTGTAACACTGAAGTCTTGACACAAACTTTTTTAAAAAGTTTTTTTTTTTTTTTTAATTTCTCTCTAGGAAATTGCACATTAGTTGCACAAGTTATTTGTAACATATGCTTCCTTGGGTACAAGGGGAAGGTTGCCATGACAGTCTTAACTTTAAATGTTCCTAGGTTTTGGTGACTTGTCATGTTCATTTTATTTTAAATTATTTTGTGCAAGTTTTTTATATTAACCAAGGTAAGGTGGAAAAATCTTTCCTGGAAAATTTTGATACATACCACAGAAGTGGCAAAATCTTTAATTAACTGGTCTATGTTCTACATACACGCAGTCAAACTTATGCTAATGTTTGACAGTTAAGGTGCTCTGCTTAGTAGGACCCTTATAGACTAAAAGGAGAGCTGACTTAATTTGATTTTATTCTGTCACCAGACTTCTTTATATCAAATTATTTCTAAAGAAAATAAAGTATAATTTTGGTAACATAAGGATGTTGCTATTTGCATGAGCATGAATAATTATTGTGACAGTGTGGTATTCCAGTTTTTGCTCAAAACTCGATGGTAGTTGATACCAATTGGGGTTCTGTTTCATGTACTTAGGAGAAAATTCAAAAATTGAAACAGTTTGGTCATTCCACTTGAAGATCATATTTGAATAGCAAGGCACTGTGGAGAAGCTTGCACTAATGCTGCCTATGCTGTTGTGCTTTGGTAATTAAATGGAGGGCTTGGATTTCCTTTGAAGTAATTTACAAGCATCTCAATCTATTAACTTCTGACTCTTGAAATCATATTTTAAAAGTGGCTATTCCCCCCCCCCCCAACTTTGTAAACAAATGGAAGAAAAGGCAATGGTCAGAGGAAGCATTAATGTGTTCCATCTCCCTGTTGTTATATGGTTTTACAAATAGTTATGTTAAGTCACTTTCTTAGGGTTTTCTGCATGACTCTTTCCTAGAAACTTCAGAAAAATAGCTGTTCACTCACACTCAGATTTATTTAAAGCTGTCAGCTAAAATCTCAGATGATTCCATCTGCACTGAGTGTACTCCATCCCCACAGAGCTCCTTCATGCTGCTGGATGGCACATGCACTACCCCACGGTGGATACCCCAGGGTGGCAAGAGCTGAGCAGAGCTTTTCCTAGCCTTGCTCCTCACAGTAGCCAGGGCCTGCTGTACTGCCAAGCACAAGAATTGAGAATAAGGAGCCTCCTGTGCTCTCATTAATACAACTCTTCCCTCCCCCCTTCCCCCCACCGATCCCAGAAATGTAGAGGAGGAAGCAGCCGAACTCAAGGAGAAGAACATGGAAAGGAGGTGAGGATGGGAGTACTGGGGGCAGGAGCAAAGCAGGGAGAAGAGCATACAGAGCTGGAGGGAGGAACAAAGGATGGGAGGGAACAGAGGCAGGATCCAGGAGGAAGGGGGGATAGGAGCAGAGGAGAAATGGAGGCAGGAAGTGGAGGGAAGGGGACAGGAACTGGGGAAATGATCTGGAGGCAGGAGCCAGGGTGAAAAGGGAGAATAGAAACAGAAGGTGGGGCTGGGGAAGGAGGATTCATAGTTATGTAACTAGAGCACACTCCCTTCCAGAACCTGGAATTAAACTCAAGATTCCGGAGTCTCAAAATTTCTTCTGCGGTAAATAGCTGTGAAGCACCCTGGCAAAGTCTCATTACCCTATAGAGGCCGGTCCACATGGAGGATAACAGCCTGTTCCTGGTACCCATTACTCCATGAGCTCAAGTACTAGAAGTTTGTGCTCTGAATCTAAAGGTCCCAACCCTTCTGATAATCCTCATATGGTGCACTGTAGTTCTACATGATGGAATTCTGCATGTTATCTTTTAAAAAGCATAGGAAATTAAACTGAAAAACATAAATTTCTGTTTTCTTATGTAGAACCTGAATATATAGTGAACGGTCTTCTGACTTTCAGACAACTTCTTAAAACCTGTTCAAAAACAGGATGTAAACACTTCTGATCCTGTTTGTCCATAGGTTACAGGTAGATCTTTTATTTACCGTCATAAGTATATATAATCTCTTAGGCCTGTCCATTTAGGTCCTGGCAGAATGAATGGATGAATATTACATTTGCCTGGGCTTCTAATCAAATTCTTTCCTTTATATACTCAGTTCAATTTACTTTTTTTCCAGCCTTTTAAAGGATCTTTTGCATTTGGGTGTGACAAACTCTTTATTTGATACAGACCAGTGTCTATTTGTTTACATGCCAACATTCATATCAGAGTTCCTTCATGTGCAGTCTTTTCTCAAGTCATAATTTATTATTGACAGTACTATGTGACATTCATAAATCTTAATCTGATCCTAAAATTCTTTTACGTTTGTAGGCCATGACCCTGCAGTAAGGACTGCACGAGTGAACTCCATGCACCTGCATAGAGCCCCACCGAAGTCAGTGGATGCTGTAAGATAGTTCTTGGATTAGCTAGTGGAGCATCAGAGCCCTTGGACTTTCACCTACTACGATAATGCCATATAATCTGGGGTAGCACACATTTTCCATGACATAACATTTTGGGAGGTAGGAAGTGAAGAATACTTAAACTTCACAGGAGAGTTAAATAGACTAAAATGCGACTACTATAGCTAGAATTTTTCCCACATGTTGAGACTAATCACCTCTGTTCTTGCAAAAAGTGTCATGTGATCTTTGGCCATAAGTAAGGCTACAATTTTGTCACAGAGGTCGTGGAAGTCACAGCATCCATGACGTTCAAAAACCTCCGTGACTTCAGCCCATGGCAGCTGGGAGCTGCAGGGTCCTGCTGCCTTCCACAGTGCCTGGGAGCTGTGGTGGTGGGGATACCTGGCAGCTCCCGGCCACCATGAGGGGCGGAGGTCCCGGTATCTCCCCGCAGCCACCAGCAGTGGCAGGGGGACCCCAGCAGCTCCCAGCCTGGGTGGAGGGGACCCAGGAGCTCCAACCACCTATGGGTGGTGAGGGCCCTGGAGCTCCCAACCGGCCACGCAGGGCTTCCATGAATTTTTCTTTATTTCCCATGACCTATCCATGACTTTTACTAAAAATATCCATGACACAATCTTAGCCTTAGCGATAAGTGGTTAGGATCTCTGTTCTACTTCTCTGAAAGATGGTGGCACCTGCACCAGATAACCATGATACATAACAAAATAATTAGCCCCAGTGAAGCATCAAAGTTACGTTTACAGGAATAAATACAGTTATAACTGAGTCTTAAAAATCTGCACTTTGGATACACAAGTAGTTATGGTAGTCAATATATATTTTCCTACGAACAGGAATAACTCCAAAGGAATTGCTTCATTACGCTCAGTATAGAATTTTTTTTTTTTTTTTTTAAACTGCCTAAACTGTTCTCCGTGTTTAATTATCTTGGAGTCTTCATAGTCTCTCTGGGAACTAAATATAGTTGTCTATATCCATAAATTGTAACTCTAATAGTTTTTATTCTTCCGGGGATTTGACACAAACCAATGGAAGTGAGGAGTCAGTTAATACTGATGATCCTTAATATAAATTGTTGGGTCATTTTGTGGGGTTTGACTTAAGAGCAGCAAGTCCTTCTGTGTCACAATCTTGACACTTATTTAAATATAGCGTTGCTGTATTTAATTGTAGCTCCTAATAATTTAGGTCTCAGTCCAACATAGTGATGTGTATAAGCAGACCGTATTCCTATACAGTCCTCCTGGATCACTTTGCAAGATTAAGTCCTTAGTTTTTGTTGGTGTGGTTTTTTTTTTTTTTTCCCCTTTTAACAAGGAATGAAGCTTCCTATGGCATCTACGCAAAAGAATTAATGGACACAAATCTGACATCAGGAATCATAATACTCAAAAACCAGTGGGAGAACACTTTAACCTGTCTGGCCATTCTATGACAGACCTGCGGGTGGCTATCTTAAAACAGAAAAACTTCAAAAACAGACTCCAACGAGAGACTGCTGAGCTGGAATTGATATGCAAACTAGACACAATCAAATCAGGGCTAAATAGGGATTGGGAATGGCTGAGCCATTACAAACATTGAATCTATCTCCCCTTGTAAGTATTCTCACACTTGCTTCTTATCAAACTGTCTGTACTTGGCTACCTTGATTATCACTTCAAAAGTTTTTTTTTCTCTTACTTAATTGGCCTCTCAGAGTTGGTAAGACAACTCCCACCTGTTCATGC